TCTCAGGAGGGCCTTAAAATTTTTTGGATCATATTGTAACACAAATTCCCTTACAATTAATTATGGAAAATCTAAGATCCTAATTTTCTCAAAGAGCCGGAAACTCCATAATTGGAAAATTGATGGGAGAGTCATTGAACAAGTCTATAAATTCCAATATTTGGGAGTTTGGTTACAACATAACCTTAGATGGAAGGCCCATGTAGCCTATGTTACAAATAGAGCCAAAGCTATCTCCTTGGCGATTTTGCGATTCTTCTTCACCGATGGGGCCCTTCATATCCCATCGGCGTTGAAAGTCTTCAAGGCCAAGGTGATTCCGACAATTGCTTATGCCATCTCAATCTGGGGGACTTTTGTCAACCTATCTCACCTAGAGGTTATTCAAAATCAGTTTCTAAGAGGGATATTGAAACTGCCCAACTGTGTAAGTAATACAGCGTTACGCATGGAACTTAATATTGTATCCCTGGAAAATGCTCTGTGGAAGCACATACTCTGTCACTGGTTATCTCTATGGCACAATCTCCCAAACTTGTACTTGATACAATGTATGTGGAGAGATGATTTCCAGAGCCCATGGGTAAAAAATTTACAACTGAAAATAACGGCAATGGGAATCTCCCCATCCAAATTACTAGAGCAGGACATAGTCCCAGCTAAAAGAACAGTAACCTGTAAGCTAGAGGAGATGGACTTGCAGCAGAAAATGATCTTGGGCAATGGTACCTGCTCACCTCTAAATCTTGGTTTATTACCCCTCTTAAGGCTCCCAAACTATTTGAACTCCCTAACTTCCTCAACTCATAGATATGCCTTTGTAAAGGCAAGATTCAACACCTTCCCATTGAACGTGCTGAGAAATAGATTCTCCAATGGACAGATATCGCTCTTATGTGATTGTAATAGTGGGGCACCGGAATCGTTGCATCATATAATCTTTGAATGTGCTTTTCACTTACCGGCCAGGAGCAAGTTCCTTGCTCAATATCTTAAGGGAATTGCCGATGATACGATTGATGCCAAACTGAGATATCTACTAATTGATGATGACCCCCTAAAATCACTCATGGTTGCCAGATTCCTGATCAGCGTCCTATCCCTAAAGAAGAGAAATGGTCTCCTGTGTGATTCGGATAACCCCTTTAAACCATGACCTATGTTTTAGGTGATATCACCATTGTTTTAAACCATGATCTATGTTTTAGGCGATATCATCATTGATATCCCTGATTAATTTATGTGCAGAGGGCGATGTATAGGTTACCAATTTATTGTAATGTATGATGGTGGTTTCTGTTTTTGTATGATGGTGGTTTCTGTTTTTGTTTTGCTTCGATTATCGTTTGTCTTTTGTAAGTTTTGGCGATTTTAAATTTGGAGGTTTAAGTATAATATGTTGGTATGAGAAACTGTCGTGTAACGGGCCAATGGCCGTAATAAAGATCAATCCAATCCAATCCAATCACTGCACAAACAGTGGCCCGTAGTTCCTTTTAGTTATAGATAGAACTTAATGCTAGATCAACATTGCTATTTTCAGTGCTTTCATTTCCCAGAGGAATGAAAGCAAAGTTTGTCCTGATGTCTGAAAGAACGCCATGTTTCAGGTGTCTCAGTCCTTCTAGCTTAATAGATACAAAATGAGCTAGCAGAGTAAAAAAAAAAAGTTGGTGATATGTTTACTCATACATAAATTTCTGACTTAGCCCAGGAATCTTCTGTAAATCAGAGGAAGTAGATGTTTGTTTGTTTTTGTTCACATAGCCTGTATGTGAACTTTTTAAAATCAACAGCAATACTTTATGTACTGAAAACTGCTAAACAACGCACCATTCACATGGACTCCGGATCCTGCCGGAAGGCAATCACAAAAGTTTAAATATTAAAAACAGTGCAATAATCCTGTATATGTATATGTCCCCTCAAAACTAAGTCTCATTTGTTTCTTTTGGGTTTACTCCTTCCCAGATATGAGTTCAGAATGGCAGCCTAACTGTCTGATACAACCAAGTGAAGCTTAATATTATTTAGCTAAGGGTTTTGGCTTCCTCTGTCAGCAAAATGTAACATAATCCAATGCATGTTTACTCCAATGTACACAATGGGTCACACTCCCAGTTAAGCATGTGTGGGATTGGAGCCTCTGAGAGATAGTGCCAAAATACATGTTATTTAATTCACACTTTTTACAAAATAGTCACTTTTTGGGGGGTGGGGGTGGGAGAAAACCACATGGCACTGTTTGGGAATGTGCTCCTGATCTGGGCCCCTTACTTAGTTTGTTGCTGCTATTTTCCAGCTGCTGTTTGCCCCCAGAGGTGTTGGTTCCTCCCAAAGGCACAGTTTTCTGCAAAAGCAGCTGGGCAAGTGAATTGGTCAGCAGTTGGGTGGCAATTACTAAGTGGGAAATTACCAAGAAAGCCCAGACAGTCACATTTGATTTCGAAAGAGGAAACTTGAAAAAGACTATGGAAGGGATAGGCTGAAATTTAGAGTTGGGATATTCAAATCCAGGGATAGCTACCATGACACCCTCCCAATGTTGCTGGACTCCCAACTCCCATCAGTCCTACTATGGTGCTGGTAATTGTAGTTCAGTAACATGTGGCGAGCAGCACATTGGCTGCCCCAGGTCAAATCTCTTCAGGATGCTTAGAGGTTATTTAGAATATAATAATGTATTATATTTAAAGCTCAAATAAAATATTTGCTATGTTCAGCAGAAGTACAGATAACAGAATAGCAATGTGGATCTTGCGGAGAGTCAATAAATGCAATGCTTCTTTTAGAAAGTGGAACTTTTACTCAAATGAGGGTAGGGGGGAGGAAGAGAGACTCTTGCAAAACTAATGGAAGTTGCCAGTAAAACTAAAAATAGAAAATGAGGATGTGCTGCTAAAAACATCCATACAGTGGTACCTTGGTTGTTGAGCAAATCGGCTCCTGAATGCTGCAAACCGGACTGTTCCGGTTTGCGAACATTTTTTGGAAGCTGAATGTCCAATGTGGCTTCCGCGGCTTCCGCTTGAGTGCAGGAAGCTCCTGCAGCCAATCAGAAGCCGTGCCTTGGTTTCCGAACTGTTGCGGGAGTAGAACAGACTCCCGCAACGGATTAAGTTCCACAACCAAGGTACCACTGTACATCAGAAGCAGAAACAAGACAGGGAGACGGTTGCACTATTAGATGAAAAAGGTGGGAAACGATTAAGGAACAAGGATTGGTAGGTTCCAGAGATGAAATTCTTGTTACTGATCTATGTAAGATTTTCGATAAGTACCCACACCAAAACCACTTTCTATGAAGAGAGACTGTGAAGAGCCCAGGTGCCAAAAGATAAACTCAAGGACTGGTTGACAAAATGAAATCAGTGGGACACCAGACCTAAAGCTCAAATGGGAAATTAAGCATTTTCTAACAAATAAGTTAGGTAAAGGTAAAGGTACCCCTGCCCGTACAGGCCAGTCTTGCCAGACTCTAGGGTTGTGCGCTCATCTTACTTTATAGGCCGGGAGCCAGCGCTGTCCGCAGACACTTCCGGGTCACGTGGCCAGCGTGACAAGCTGCATCTGGCGAGCCAGCGCAGCACACGGAACGGCGTTTACCTTCCCCTGGTAAGCGGTCCCTATTTATCTACTTGCACCCGAAGGTGCTTTCGAACTGCTAGGTTGGCAGGCGCTGGGACCGAACGGCGGGAGCGCACCCCGCCGCGGGGATTCGAACCGCCGACCTTTCGATCAGCAAGTCCTAGGCGCTGAGGCTTTAACTCACAGCGCCACCCGCGTCCCTAACAAATAAGTTACTTTCCATTAAATCTCCTTGCTGGAGCATTGGCAGGTAGCTAATGGCTGCATTCACACGTTACCATTGTGTGAAGCCAAGGTTTACTCATGGCTTCTTGATCACGGTTTGTTCCAGTGAAGCAAACCATGATCCTTTGTTTCAACATTAAACGATGTTTGTGGTTTGTGGTACTTAGGGTAGAGCAAAGCAGGAGTGATTTCCATGTTTGCACAAAAGCATTAATTATGATTTATCATGAAGTATGAATGTGGTTGGTGTAACAGAATTTTTTGTTTTGTTTTAATGTTATATTGGGGGAACCTAGGAAATCAGCCTAACCTCTTGCTGTAAAGCATTATGAAACCAACAATTACATCAAAAAAATAAATGTTCCTGAGGTAGAAACAGCATGGCTTCTGCAAAGGGAAGTCCTGCATCATCAAGATTTTAGAATTTTTTAATGGGTGGCAGCAAATATATAGGGCAATCTGATATAATTATTTGGAGTTCTGAACAGTAGTCTTGAGAGACAATGGAGTGTGCCTCCAGAGGTGAAGTCAAACCATTGCATTAGCAGCACTGAAGTGACCGTCCTGGAGCGCAAGCCTGGGCAGAGTGTATGGAGGTCCTGGGCAGCCCAGACTGCCTCGTAGTCTGACCCTGTAGTTACCTTTAGCTAAATTTGGTTTTCTGGTTTCTGACCAAAAATTCATGCCAGCTTTTGTTTGTTAAGAAAGTTAATTCTCGTGCCTTATATGGTTTTTAGTAAGCTCCTTTTTTTTTGCTTTACTTTTTCCCATTATTCCTTTGCAGCTGATTTCCTGTTGATATATTTTTAAAGTCGTCTTCTGTTAAATAAGTCTTTGTTTGTAGAAGTGGGCTAAGTTTTTAAGACTAAGGAAACATTTCTGACAGTTTTTATTTAATAATATTGTTTATGTTTTATTTTTGGCTTGAGCTAAAAAGCAATGTTTGGGTTGCAATTCTATACATAGTTACTCACCCTTGAATCCCAATAATTGCACCAAAAAATTCCATGGTGAATTGCAGCCCAACTGCTTATCAGTCAGGAAGATCCTATGCCTATTATTCTAGGAAGGGTTTTTTTGGTGGTGGGGGGGTTCAATTGAGCCAAAGGAGATATAGCCCTTCATTTGTTTACTTTGCATTATTTTGCCATGGTATATATATAAAAAAATTTCTTTTCCACTTAAAGGTAGAGACCTGTGGGTTCTTGCTCTGGGAAGGTTTCCAACCCAACATAGGATTGGCATACCAGAGTTCAACTATGTTGCTAATATGCATGGGGATGAGGTACGTCTACTACTACAATTGTTGTGGTTTCCTTTACAGCATTGTTTGCCTGATATCTTGGAAGCAGCTGAGATCATATACTCATGGAAGTCTTAAGTTTTTGCCAAATTGCTAGAGATGCATTTAACATTTCTCTCTTTAGGGATTCAGAATCGAAGGATGGAAGTGCCGTGGTGGAATTGAAGAGAGAGAGAGATGTGCTAAATATTATCAAAGGGCCTGTCACACGTAATATTTAGAAGGTCCATCTGTTTCGATCATTCCTCAAGACTGGGTTTTAGACTTTCTTTCCCACAGTTGATAACAGCTGAAGAAAACAATAATGGAGAGAATGATACATATGATCTTCCTGGTGAATTTCCTAGGACCCCTAGGAAACAAACAAATGACAGAAAAAGCCATAATCTGACTTACTTTGTGCATTTTTGGCAGCCTTCAGTAATAATTAGAAAGAGCATACCAAACAATAATTGTCCTGCTAAGTTCTCCAAGGCTAGTTTTATCTTGTTGCCAAAGCTGAATGCTGATAACATCAATGTGGTTGAGACAGCGTCTCAAATGGCAGCATAAAAAGAATGATACATTATGAAAATGTGTTAATAGTAATCAGAGCTTTTTTGTAATGCTAGTCACTAGTGCAGATTACCATCACCTCTTTCTCTTTGGTGCCTATGGATTGGAACCATTGTGTGCTAGCAATTTATCAAGATATTAGTACTGGCACCTCATTATTTTTTAAAAAGAGCACTAATTGTACTTGGATATTATGTGTGCAGGCCTTCTGTAGTATGATTACAGTAATAGCCAGTGTTTCCTCTATTTTAACCTGGAGTGGACTGGAGCTTTTCTCGTCTCATTCTTTTCCACTTTAACTCCTTTTCTCTTCAGATGTATTTCTTTCCTTTAAAGCAGGGGTCAGCAAACTTTTTCAGCAGGGGGACAGTCCACTGTCCCTCAGACCTTGTGGGGGGCCGGACTATATTTTGGGGGGAAAAGAAAAAAGAACAAATTCCTATGCTCCACAAATAACCCAGAAATGCATTTTAAATAAAAGCACACATTCTACTCATGTAAAAATAGCAAGCAGGCCACACAAATAATCTAGAGATGCATTTTAAATAAAAGGGCACATTCTACTCATGTAAAAACATGCTGATTCCCGGACTGTCCGCAGGCCGGATTTAGAAGGCGATTGGGCCGGATCCGGCCCCCATACCTTAGTTCACCTACCCATTCTTTAAAGTCATCCAGGAACAAATAATGTCAACAGGCTTTATGCCCAACGTATTTCATATGGACTGGGTGGAATTTGAAAGTAAAGGCCTGTACAACCATATGGGATCAGATGCAATTTAAAGAACTACATTAAATTTGTTGTGTTTTAGTAGAACTGAATGGCACTTGATGTTGCTGATTATCTTTCTGTCTTCCCTTCCGCTGAACTCCCACCCCCCTTTCTTCTACAAATGTGGAAAGAAATAAGTGTAGATTATAATGTTGACATGACTCAGCTCCAGTCTTTCCTAAAAAGTTTATTTGAACTATCATGCATTGACTTTGTTGGCAATTTTTATTTTAGAAAGGTCAAACATTTAAGTGGGGTGGATTATTCTATTTTGTCAGTCATCCTGGAGTTTTTCTGTGCTTTGATCCATTTGCATAATAATTTATTTATAAAAGACATATCTAATCCTTAGAGGAATGCCTATACAGTAGAAGATAATTATTTTAATTCAATGGAAATATCTTTCACAGCATCACAATAATAATGAAAATCCAGACTTTTTGGCAAAGTTGATGAAGTTTTTTTTTTAGTTTTGGCAAAAGTTGTTGAGCTTTTTGGGCAAAATTGCTTCTTAAAAATATGTTTTTTAAGAGCTATTTTTATGGAAAAACATGGGTTGCCTTACGTCCAGATTTTCCTGGACATTTGCCCAATTTCCACCTGGACACTGCTGCTTCCCAGATATCCAGGGAAATCCAGACGTATTTGGGTATGGAAGACAATGGATTTTTGGGCAAATTTTTAAACAAAATTCTTAAAAATGTTAGGGGAAAATATTGACAGATTCTTATCTACACTCTGAAGTGCAGCATGTATATATTGGTCAGTGCAGTAAGGAATAATTGTGGAATGTCTGGGGTTGACTGTGGAGGAGAGAGAGGTTAAGCATTTTGGCTACACAATGGTTCCTTTCTGTGTTCTCAGTTCATTCTCAAGTTTCAGTCTCAATTCAAGTGGCCTGACTGAAGTGATGCATTTTGCAGGTAGAAAAAGTGTTAACAGTCGCACAATGCTAATACTGGAAGGGAAAGCAGAATATTTTGCATACTGTATTTAAAGAGAGAAATACTGTACAAGCAGTTGGTTCCTCAAGTAAGGAATGTGGAAGGGACGGGGAAAGAAGGACCGAGAGCTGACCTGGCAGCACTAATAAATCCATTAAAATGATAACCAGGAAGCCCTTTTCTAGTGTTTAGGCCTTCACCAGGTTTTCACCATGATCCAAACAAGCGGTGACAGAGCTTTCCCAGTGGCTGCTGTGGAATACCTTGGCATTTCTGTTTTGCTTTTTAACTTTCCATAACCATCTGTTATAACTCAAGTACTTATGTGGCTTGTCTGGTTGCAGTTGCTTCTTAACCCCACAGATTTATCAGCTGGGGCATTTGGCCACTTCATTCATTTTGGGAGCGAACCAGTCCACATGGCACACGCTGGACTTTGTCCATCAAGATTATTGATTGATTGAATTTATATACCACCCCTATACCCTCAAGTCTCAGGGTGGTTCACAAAATAAAATCAAAATATAAAACCACAAAATACACAATCAAAATGACAACAATGACAACAACCCAATAACACCCCCCCCCCGAGATCCTCAGGTGTGCAGGAATTCCACACATACATCTTATGCACAGAGAGCTCTTAATCCTGTTGGGTGCCTAAAGGTTTTGGATTCTCTTCCTGCAATAGCGAGGACTAAAAAACATCTCTCTCTCTCTCTCTCTCTCTCTCTCTCTCTCTCTCTCTCTCAATGCTCAATACTGGTTTATTATATGGATGTGATGTCACCTATACAGCTAACTTCATATGCTGCTAGCCAGGGAAAGCTTCATAATAAGGGGACTGTGTCTTACTGAGGATACCAGGAGTTGCCTGCTTCCAGTGAATTCTGGCAATTCACTCTTCACAGGTTGAGGGATAGCCTTTAAGGAGTTTGCAGGTTACAGAGAAGAAGATAAAAGAGACTGGCTAGCTCAGGGTAAGAGGTTAAGGATGTGAATTTATACAGGTAGGTGCCACAATAACGGAAAACAACCTGCTGCCGTAACAAAATGCTATCTTAATATGGATTGCAGCCCCTTCTCTTCCAAGGCACACTTCTCTTTCATCCAGACCCGAGAAAAGGAGAACCCAGTATGTAAATCATTGTGTGCTCCAAAAAAAAATTCTAGTCTGATTAAAAAAAATAAAAATAAGGACAATCTCTCTCTTGACAGCAGCGAAGCAACAGCGTTGTTCTAAGTTGTTGCTGATGGGGAGAGGCCTGACTGCGCTAACAAAGAAGCATTATTTTTAGCAGGGCTTGACAGTGCCAATATGAGCATGGCTTTTTTAAAGCAAGCAAACAAAACCACATATGACCCATATCAGGGTGGGTTGGGGGGGACAACAGGAAGAAGCCTTTTGGGAAGTGTCTGCCTGTCTACTGTGAGATATTTATTTATTTATTTATTTATTTATTTATTTATTTATTTTGCAATGATAATATTCAGTTTGCATTACAGTGGTACCTCGCAAGACGAATGCCTCGCAAGACGGAAAACTCGCAAGAAGAAAGAGTTTTCCGTTTTTCGAGGTGCTTCGCCAGACGAATTTCCCTATGGGCTTGCTTCGCAAGAAGAAAGCCCATAGGGAAATCTCCGGGGACCTCTTTTAAAATGCTGGCGGTCGGGAGCAAAGACTTTCGCCCACCGCCGGCCTTCAGAAGAGGTCCTGGACCTCTTCTGAAGGCCGGCGGGGGGCAAAAGTCTTTGCTCCCCCCCGCCTGCCTTCCCGGGACAGCGGAGACTTCTCCGCTGTCCCGGGGCGATCTTAAAATGCTGGCGGGCGGCAGTGAAGCCCTCCTGTCCCCGGAGCTTGCGGGGCGGGAGGTGGGGAGAAGGGCTTTTCTTCCCACCGCCAGCCTTCAGAACAGCCTTCTGAAGGCTGGCAGTGGGAAGAAAAGCCCTTGTCCCCCCCCCCAGCCTTCAGAAGAGGTCGGGGGACAGACTGTCCCCGGACCTGGTCTGAAGGCGGTTTCCATAGGAACGCATTGATTGATTTTCAATGCATTCCTATGGGAAACCGTGCTTTGCAAGACAAAAAACTCGCAAGAAGAAAAAACTCGCGGAACGAATTAATTTTGTCTTGCGAGGTACCACTGTACTGATGGGCTTACCAAAGGCTAATTTTATTACTTGGTGGTGTGTGGTTTTAATTACCGGTATTTCCATAACATGAAACTTGTGTAAAACTATAATTTAGTCCTATGCAAATCGAACAATACCATATTATGAGTCTGTGGCACGGGTGAAGTAGGCTAACCTTGTTTAAATGTGAAAAATGAAGTGAAAAGGAAGGTAAGCCAAATAGTGCATTAGACACCCCTCCCATTTCAATAGACATGTCTATGAATTCACTGTTGTGTGTGGGGGGGAATAGATCTCTTCTCTCGCTACAATTAAGGGAGTGGAAAGAGGGACCAAGGAGCCATCAGATCCACTCACCACTCCAAGGCAGGACCATTCACCCTACTTTCCCCACACAGAGTACACTATGCAATTCACACCACACTGCATTCTCAGGAAAGAGAAAGTGCGCTGCAAAACCAGTAGTTTCAGATTAAGGATTTCACCTGATGCCAGGTGATTGACAGAGGCCTGTAGGAGTTGGTGGTGGTAAGGCACTCTAGTTCAGAAAGGTTCCCCAGTCCTAGTCTCTTAAAATACTAACCTATTGATTTCCTTGTGCTAATTCTCACTTCTGTACTTTCCTCATGTGTGGGGCCTGGCTTTTCATTAATTCCTCCCCCACCCCCACCCCCACCCCCAGTGATTTAGTATGTTGAATACTTTAATTGCTGTTTTATGGCTTGGCCTAGTTTAGTCGCTGCTGTTTCTATTGATGTTGTTTTACCTTTGAATGTTTATTCCATAGTTTCACTCTTTTCACTGTGTTGCTCTGCGAGGTTATGCTAAAGGGTAATTATGAATAGATACCTGCCAACCTTTCTTTTCATCCTCCTTTAAGGACTCATGTCTTCTCTTGCATTTCCCTCTTGATGAGGCACTGCTTCCTTTGAATAATTTTTATTGTCAGCTAATTGTAGTATAGGTTTAATTGTAAACCCTTTAGTTATGCCTAGCCAAGTTTTCCTTATTCTGCCTATCTCGTTCTTGTGAGCACTGCAAGCAGCAACCCGTGCATTTTATTCATATACAGCACATAGTATATGTTTGGTGCTTTAATAAATAACTGTTGCTGCTGATCCCCACAACATCTCACATTATTTCCTTGAGGTTGCAGTTTGACACAGAACAACTGCTTCAGGAGCAAATAGGCATTAGATCCCTACTTTATCATTCATGTCTGAATACAAATACTACCAAGTTCCTCAGCTGAAGTGAGATCATGACGGTACCAACAGGACAAAAATGACTTACATCTAACAAACTTTATAATTAGGCTTGGGAAAATTGGCTGCAAGGGGAGCCTGTTTTCAAGCCTAATTGCTGTTCATGGCGGGCATTTTCAGAGGAGATGAGCCTCTCTTCCCTCTGTGCTTTAACTCTCCTGCTGAACTGTATGACACCAGTAATTAGAATTGCAAAAAAGTAGTTGGAAAAAAGCCTTTCATGATTAAATGCTAACTAGAATATGCTCATCATCGCCTAGGAAAAGTGTCAGAGATCCCACAATAGGAAAAAACCTAGAACATCTCCCTTTGTTTTTTTTTTGTTTTTTTTGCACCGTGGAATGTGACTAGATACATGTTGAAGAGCTATGGTGACATTTATAAGTGGGTAGGGTGGTGATGTTCTGTTTTTGCAATAGGAACTATTTTTACGATGCAACATTATGTCATTGCTAATCCTATTTAAAATGTTGAGACGGAAGCAAACATCCATGGAACTATGTATTATCCTATTATGTCTCTGAGTGCCTCCTTTCCTGGCTTGCTTGGGCCTGCCCAGCACTGGCATTCAGCATTTGGAAGGTTTGCCTGTTCTGCTCCATAGTAATAGACAGAACGGGACATTTTTAGCTTGTGATATCAAAGTGCTTTCTGACCCTTTGCCTTTTCCTCTCTTGTCTCATTTCTGCTTTTGTCTCCATCCTTTGGCCTAACATAGCTTTGCTTACAAACTTGGATGACGCCTTACTAAGGGGCTGCTTCCTCAAAGTGTGCACATATAATTCAGTAGCTGAGTTGGTTGTCTTATCATCCTGCCAGGTAGTAAATAAAGTTGTTTCCAGTTAACACATAGGTGAGTGTGGAAACTCTTGCCTGAATCTACCTTTGGTCTTTTAGTAGGACTCAGTCATTAGGGAATCAGTCAGGAGAGTCATTTAATCCAGAGAGACTATGACATGCTTATTAAACTTTTGCCATATTCTCTGTTTTATTTTCCTGCTGAAGTTTCCCTTCCTTTTAGGCATAGCAATTTCTGAAATGTGTCCCATTTCATTAAAGATCTGCATTCAAGGTCATTCTGATTTGGTCATGAGCAATATTGAACGAAGTAGAGCTATGTATTTTACAAAACCATTCCAGCTCAGTTAACTAGAAAATAAAAATAAAAATACATAGTCTTCCTCTTGCCTCTCTGTTCCAGAAACCAGATCTCATCTGGCAGTAGCTAAAGTGCTGAACTTGTAGGAAGTCTACAGCATTCCAAACTTTCAGAGTTGGACACTTTATTACGCAGGATAGTTTTCATTGTAACAACACAATGTCTGCAGTATAGACAAAAGAGAATAGAATGTGCTGGTTTAAGGAATGTCCAGGGTACATAGCAATACATTATGATATTTATCTGTGAAGTCCCCAAGAGCGGAAAAAATTATGCTCTTAAATTTGCTCTTAAATCTGTAGTTAAAGAAGTTAGACTAGCTTCAACCAGAGCCAGGGCCTTTTCAACACTGGCCTGGTGGAACTCTCTGCCTCATGAGACCAGGGCCCTGCAGGATCTGATTTCTTTCCGCAGGACCTGTAAGACAGAGTTGTTCCGCCTGGCCTTTGGCTTGGAGCCAATTTGATTCCCTCCCCCTCTTTCTTTTTCCTTCTCCTCCTGTGATGAGGCTGCATTTTAATATTTTAATGTTTCAATATTTTAATCTTGTTTTTTTTAGTTGTATTCATTCAATTTGTTTTTATTGTTGCTTGTTAGCCGCCCTGAGCCCAGCCTTGGCTGGGGAGGGCGGGGTATAAATAAAAATTATTATTATTATTATTATTATTAGTTGGGCTACAACTCCAGTAAGCTCCAGCTACCATGACCAATGGTCAGAGGTGATGGTTGTTGTGGTATAAAACCTCTGAAGGGCATCAGGTTGGGGAAGGCTAGGCTATAACATCTAATTCTCAGGCTTGTGGTCCTTGCTGAAAACTGCTGCTCACTGTGATAGGGCCAGCTCACACTGTGAAAATGTTTCCATTCAATGTGTTTTGGTTGTCTGTTGCCATATGTGTGCATATGATTGTGTGGGGAATGTAAACAAATACAGCTACAGGGATTTTTCCACTCACTGGTGCTTTTCTCCAGCTGCAGTGATTGGGAGGGAAAACTCATTGTTCGCTAGCTGTGCCTGTGTCTGCGTCCTGTCTGGTTCACTTTCCACATGGATAGCATTGCTTGGGCAACGGGTATTTTGGCTGGAACTGGTTTTCAGTGGGAAGCCTCACCCAGGCCCCAAAAGCATTCACTGGCACAGTTTTTGCTCAAGCCATAAGAAAAGTATCGCTGTGTTTTTCTTGGCTGTTTGATTTCTGGGGGAAATACATTTTAACCCAATTCATGTTGGCCATCATATTCTGCTTGCTAGTTTTAGGAACACGGTGTTTTGTATTAGGACTGCATTATGTATTACCTTTGTACCTTGGGCAAACTAAGATCTGTGCTGCACCTTATTGTCCATTGCATTTAAAACACACACAACTCTGTGCTTCTTAAAACAGGCAGTCGGGAGGGAGTTGCTGCTCCATCTTATAGACTTTTTGGTAACCAGTGATCAGCGTGATCCGGTCATTACAAAACTCCTTGACAGCACCCGAATACACATCCTGCCTTCAATGAACCCTGACGGATTTGAATCAGTAATCAATGCCAGCTGCGAGCCTCTTTTTGGCAGGTGAGAACAAAGCGAAAATTGTTATGGGGAGCACCTTAGGGTTTGCTTTCAATAAGTTTCAGAACCCCACATTACATTTGCCCAAAGGCCTTTACCTTCTGTTCCTGGTTGCAGGACCTCAAACTCCAAGTTGTCTTGAATCTGGGTCCTTCTAGGATGGGGGGTGAGAAAACATTTATTTATTTCTCCTTCTCCTCCTCCTTCCCTGTTAAAAAAAATAAAACGATGAGAGAAAGAGAAAGAAAGAAAGAGAAAAAATAGCATATACAAGGATATAATATAGTACACTAAATATACCGTATTGGCCCGAATATAAGCTGCACCCGGATATAAGCCGCACCTTTAAAATTGGAGGGGGGGGAGAAAAAGGGAGAGAAAAATCTCCAAATATAAGCTGCCCCATTCGTCGCTGCTCCTGGCTACGTACTGGGGGGGGGCATGCTACGTTGCCGGCGGCCTTTCCCCTTCCTTGCTCTCTCCCTTCCTAGCCTTGGAGAGGATGGGGAATGACATGCGGGGCAGGCACCACTTTGCTGCGCTCCTGGCACTGTTTGCCCTGCGCTCCTGGCACTGTTTGCCCTGTGCTCCTGGCTGCACACCGTAAGGTTGCAAATATAAGCCTCACTTTAACTTTTCACGGTCGGAATTTGGGGGAAAAGTGAGGCTTCTATTCAGGCCAATATGGTAATAAGTTACATTCCCATACATTATTCAGCTTTTAAAGGACATCTGCAGGCAGCCCTGTATCAGGAAGTTTTTAATGTTTGATGTTTTATTATGTTTTTATAATAATAATTTATTATTTATACCCCGCCCATCTGGCTGGGTTTCCCCAGCCACTCTGGGCGGCTTCCAACAAAACACTAAAATACAATAACCTATTAAACATTAAAAGCTTCCCTAAACAGGGCTACCTTTAGATGTCTTCTAAAAGTTTGGTAGTTATTTTTCTCTTTGACATCTGGTGGGAGGGCGTTCCACAGGGTGGGCGCCACTACCAAGAAGGCCCTCTGCCTGGTTCCCTGTAACTTGGCTTCTCACAGCGAGGGAACCGCCAGAAGGCTCCTGGCACTGGACCTCAGTGTCTGGGCAGAATATTGTTTTTGTGTGTTGGAAACCACCCAGTGTGGCTGAGGCAACCCAGCCAGATGGGTGTGGTATAAATAATAAAATTTGTTGTTGTTAGGCTGCATTTTTCATATCTTCAGGTGCTCTAGTGGCATGGGTGCTACCAACACTGCCATGCACTGCAGGGGTGTTTGAGTAGTACCTAGGGGTGGTTGTTTAATTCAGCCTCTGCTTACTCAACCGCCTTTCCCAATCCTTGAAAAGTATGGCTAGAGGTTATAGCTGTTTTAGTTTCTGTATCAGCAGTTCATTCATTCTTTCAACTGGACCAGATGCTTGAGGATAATGAGGACTATGAGGTACCCATTGGATATTCCATTCATTAGCCTACCTGTTAAGCGAGGCCAATAATTGATTAATTAATCCTGCAACTGTACTACTGCTGGTGGTCACCCAGCTTTCAGCTGACCCACATCCTGCTGATATTTATTCCTGGAGCACAAACAGTATATCAAGACAACAAAGCAAGCAAACAGACAAAAAAACAACCTCTGACAGGGTGTTCCAATAAACAAAAAGGAAGAATTGGGCAAACAATTAACCTACCTCCTTGAAATACAAGATTCTTCTGCAGTAGGCTTCCAGTACGCAAGGGTGGGGAGATCTTTCAGCCTGAAGGCCATGTATCCTGGTGAAAGAGACCAGAGGCAAAAACAGGCAGAACAACATATGAAATGTTTACCTTTGTACAGCAGGCTAGTCTACATCTATCTTCCATTTAGGCAAGCAAAAGGCATTAGTAGGATTCAAAGATACAAAAAGTTTGAGAACCCCTGCCATAGACAGCTTAAAACTATGAATAGCCAACAGTATTCTAGGGCCCTACTAAAAGAGGCCCTAAACAGACAGATTGCAACCAAACATTTGCATCCTAAACTCACTCATTTGAAAGTATGTTCTAGATGACAGCCTAATATATATATTTTTATCCCTCTTAAGATTCAATGCTAATAATAAAGATCTGAACAGGAACTTCCCGGATGCCTTTATCCTAAATACTCATGACATCCAGCCAGAGACTGAAGCTATAATGAACTGGTTAAAGAATGAAACGTTTGTCCTCTCTGCAATCTGCATGGCGGATCACTGGTCGCAAGTTACCCTTTCGATAATGGCAATTCAGGTAAGCTATTGCTTGAGCATAGGGTCACTAACTCTATTGGCAACCCATAGCTGATGTTTCACGATACACAGGCAAAGGCAGGTCTTCAGTTCTGTCTATAATACAAAGTATTTGAATCATTTGATCTCGATCATATAGACCTGTTTTGAACTCCCATCAGCCCCAGCCAGCATAGCCAATAGTCAGGGTTGATTGTTGTTTTAGTTGTTTAGTCATGTCCGACTCTTCGTGACCCCATGGACCAGAGCATGCCAGGCACTCCTGTCTTCCACTGCCTCCCGCAGTTTGGTCAAATAACTCAGAGAAGCTATGAACTATGCCGAGCAGGGTTGATTATATATTCAAAACAGGAATTCATAACATGGAGTGTACATCGTAGCACTGGCCAACACTCCCACAGACATTCAGCCAAGCCACAACAGGGCACATTTACAGTGGTACTTGCTTTCCAGCGGTTCTCAACCTGTGGGTCCCCAGATGTTATTGGCTACAACTCCCATCATCCCTGAGCTCTGGCCTTGCTAACTAGGGGTGATGGGAGTTGTAGTTCAACAACATCTGAGGACCCACAGGTTGAGAAAGGCTGCTTTACACTGCCTCTGATCTAGTCTAGAGGGAATTGTGCCAGTAATGTAAGTTTGAAAATGTGGCAAGCTATACATGTGACAAGGGACACGGGTGGTGCTGTGGGTTAAACCACAGAGCCTAGGACTTGTCGATCAGAAGGTCGGCGGTTCGAATCCCCATGGGGGTGAGCTCCCGTTGCTCGGTCCCTGCTCCTGCCAACCTAGCAGTTTGAAAGCACGTCAAAGTGCTAGTAGATAAATAGGTACTGCTCCGGTGGGAAGGTAAACGGTGTTTCCGTGCACTGCTCTGGTTCGCCAGAAGCGGCTTAGTCTGCTGGCCACATGACCCGGAAGCTGTACACCAGCTTCCTCAGCCAATAAAGCGAGATGAGCGCCACAACCCCAGAGTCGGTCATGACTGGACCTAACGGTCAGGGGTCCCTTTACCTTTATACATGCGACAAATAGTGGTGGGAGTGGCCTGTCCAGCTTTGCCACCTGAGATGTTGTGGAACTCACCAGACACCACCACCATCGCTTCTTCTCACTTCTCTGGCAGCGGGCAGAGCACACTGTGGGATTCCCCCACTTGAGGCAGCTGCCTCAGTTTGCCTCATGGGTGAGCCAGCCCACATTTTTTAGCAATCCTTGTACTGGGAAGGATTTCTAGCGGTAGCCAGAAATGTGCCTATGCTTGTATGATACAAACTACACTTATTAGTTGTGATATGTGTGTGCAGAAACCCAGGCAAACACAATCTACACTGTAACCAAATTTCCACTGTGGTTACTTTCTTTCCACAGTTACTGTTAATTTTCTGGATGAGAGCCGAACTGTTGATAATGATGTTTTCATGCACCTGGCGAGAACATACTCAGAGAAACATGCCACGATGCATAAAGGGAATGCGTGTAACTCTGTAGAATACTTCCCAGACGGCATTACAAATGGATATCAGTGGTACATGCTTCATGGTAAGAAATTTCCCCCTTGTTCCCTAAGCGCTCTCCTCCTTTTTTGTATATTCTACACTGCGTACACAGGTATAAAAACAAATGAAGCAATTTAAAACAGTAAAAATCCACAAAGCAATACAGTGGTACTTCATGTTACATACGCTTCAGGTTACACACTCCGCTAACCCAGAAATAGTGCTTCAGGTTAAGAACTTTGCTTCAGGATAAGAACAGAAATCGTGCTCCGGCGGCGCGGCAGCAGCAGCGGGAGGCCCCATTAGCTAAAGTGGTGCTTCAGGTTAAGAACAGTTTCAGGTTAAGTACAGACCTCCGGAACGAATTAAGTACTTAACCCGAGGTACCACTGTACAAAAATACTGCAGCGACCCAGTGCAAAGCAGTACATAATATATTGCAATCAAACACAGTGAACACCTGCAAGATCAGTAGGCCATGGTGGGGAGACAGGATCCAACTGACAAGCCAAATCCTGAGCTCTTCCACTCCCCTTTCCCAGCCATTTTGACTGGCTTGTTGGACCACCCACTCGTCATTATCATGGTGTCAGGTGGTCCAACAGAGCTTGCTGAAAGCACTGCTTAACCAATGGGAGCTTAGTGCAAGCCCTGTTTTGGGCAGAGATTGGCTACACTATGGAGTTCCCAACTGGGAACTTGGTAGTGCAGCTGATTCCTGTGGGGGCCTGCTGTCAGTGCGTACAAGGCCTTGCTTGCCAAGGAGGAATCAGGAGCACATTTAAGACACATTTCCTTACCTGCCCCACATGTAATCTCCGGTTAGGCCCTCTGCCAGACCCTATTTAGCCCATGAGCAGGGGATTCCCCACTACTTTTTTGGGACCAATGTCCTGGCAAAAATTCAGAACTTTCGAAGTTCTTCAGTCTTAAGCTAGTGATGGGTGGGTGGGTGAAGTGAGATGAGGTGCCAAGTGACATTTGCATTCCAAAGTGGGTGCCCAACACACTTATAGGCATTGAAAATCTCTGCTTGTATTGATGTGTGTGTGTGTGTGTGTGTGTGTCTGTCTGTGTGTGTGTGTGTGTGTGTGTGTGTGTGAGAGAGAGAGAGAGAGAGAGAGAGAGAGAGACTTGGGGGTGTGGAGAATAAATTTTATGAGGATTGTGCATAAGTTGGATAACCCAGGAAAATAATCCTACATTGTAGTTGGTTGCCCCTCAACCAGAGGGGAAAAAATGTCCTGCCTATATACCTTTTGCAGTCTTCTTGTTGGAAAAGTGAGCAGAAAAGTGTTTCCTTTCCTCCTTACTTCATTGACATGAGCTTTTAAGCTGCATGCAGCTGTGTAGCGGGAGTAGGAGACCAAGAAAAAGTGGGGACAGCCTAGTGCCGGTGTAGTAGTAGTAGTAGTAGTAGTAGTAATAATAATAATAATAATAATACAGTGGTGCCTCGCAAGACTAAATTAATTCATTCCACAAGTCTCTTCGTCTTGCGAGTTTTTCGTCTTGCGATGCATGGTTTCCCATAGGAATGCATTGAAAATCAATTAATGCGTTCCTATGGAAACCGCCTTCAGACCAGGTCCGGGGACAGTCTGTCCCCCGACCTCTTCTGAAGGCTGGGGGGGGGGAACAAGGGCTTTTCTTCCCACCCCCAGCATTTTAAAAAACCCCGGGACAGCGGAGGACTTCTCTGCTGTCCGGGGCGATCTTAAAATGCTGGCGGGCGGCATTTTAAAATCGCCCCGGGACAGGGGAGGACTTCTCCACTGTCCGGGGCGATTTAAAAGCTCCTGGGAAGGCAGGCAGGGGGGACAAAGACTTTTGCCCCCCCGGCAGCCTTCAGAAGAGGTCCAGGACCTCTTCTGAAGGCGGGCGGGGGGCGAAAGTCTTTGCTCCCCCCCGCCTGCCTTCAAAAGCCTTCCGGGACAGCGGAGAAACGCAGTCTCCCGGGAAGGCAGGCAGGGGGGAACAAAGACTTTTGCCCCCCGCCGGCCTTCAGAAGGTGTTCCCGCCCCGCCGCCCGGCTTCGGAGCATCCTTCCGAAGCCGGGCGGCGGCGGGAGGTGTTCCCGCCCCGCCGCCCGGCTTCGGAGCATCCTTCCGAAGCCGGGCGGCGGCGGGAGGTGTTCCCGCCCCGCCGCCCGGCTTCGGAGCATCCTTCCGAAGCCGGGCGGCGGCGGGAGGTGTTCCCGCCCCGCCGCCCGGCTTCGGAGGAGCCTTCCGAAGCCGGGCGGCGGCGGGAGGTGTTCCCGCCCCGCCGCCCGGCTTCGGAGCATCCTTCCGAAGCCGGGCGGCGGCGGGAGGTGTTCCCGCCCCGCCGCCCGGCTTCGGAGCATCCTTCCGAAGCCGGGCGGCGGCGGGAGGTGTTCCCGCCCCGCCGCCCGGCTTCGGAGGAGCCTTCCGAAGCCGGGCGGCGGCGGGAGGTGTTCCCGCCCCGCCGCCCGGCTTCGGAGCAGCCTTCCGAAGCCGGGCGGCGGCGGGAGGTGTTCCCGCCCCGCCGCCCGGCTTCGGAGCATCCTTCCGAAGCCGGGCGGCGGCGGGAGGTGTTCCCGCCCCGCCGCCCGGCTTCGGAGCATCCTTCCGAAGCCGGGCGGCGGCGGGAGGTGTTCCCGCCCCGCCGCCCGGCTTCGGAGGAGCCTTCCGAAGCTGGGCAGCGGGAGGAGGTGTTCCTGCCCCGCCGCCCGGCTTCGGAGGAGGTCCGAGGACAGTGGGGAAGACGCTGCGCTTCCCCGCTGTCCCGGAGATTTCCCTATGGGCTTTCGTCTTGCGAAGCAAGCCCATAGGGAAATTCGTTTTGCGAAGCGCCTCCAAAACGGAAAACCCTTTCGTCTAGCGGGTTTTCCGTCTTGCGTTCGTCTTGCGGGGCACCACTGTAATTTTATTATTTATACCCCGCCCATCGGGCTGGGCTTCCCTAGCCACTCTGGGCGGCTTCCAACCAAATATTGGAATACAGTAATAATAATGGCTTAAGACAATGGTTTTCAACCAGTGTGCTGTGGCACCGTGGGTGCCTTGAATGGTGCTCAGGGATGCTGCAGGCAATACTGGCCTCCGTCCCTTTCCTTCCCTCCTTCCTCGGATGCCATCTCACGTTTCTGCCTCCCAAAGGCTTGCACAACTGTTTGTTGCAGCAGCCCTGGCTATGAGCTCCCCAGGCAAATGGTGCCTCTGGGGCTGGCCAGGGGGTGCTTACCAGGCAACTGTGGGGCAGTATGAGGAGCCACCTCTCTTTGGGGTGGGGGGTGGGCAGCTCAGAGACCAGGGGCGGCAGCTGGGGCTGCATGGAGGACCCCCAAGGAGAGGGAAGAGGAGAGGAGGCTGAGGGAACACTCCACAAGGGATGGTGTTTGAAAAATAGTGAGAGGCCGCCAGCTCTGCAGGCAAGGGGTGACATAACTGGGCTCCTGAGCCCCACGGGGTGCCGCAGAAAGAATGTAGCTGCGTCAAGGGAGCTGTGGACTCAAAAATGTTGAAAACCTCTGACTTAAGAGAAAACTGTCCATGCCTAGTCATTTGCCATTGGCAGATTCTACAGGACAGTCTAGGGAGGAAGAAGCAGTGGTAGCAGATCAACAAGCTGAAGTGACAGTGGTGGCGGCTGGAGGACTGGAACGCTGCTGACTTTTCTGCTGACCAGCTGTTTACTGCTCACATGCCAAGCCAGCTTCCTGGGGACATTTGAACCAAGGCTGACGAGTTGAGGCACCTGGCAAAGGAGTTTAGGAGAGTATTTAAAATGCTAACTTTTTCTTAATGGCATTTAAACTATGCATTTAAATATATACTTTAGGTGGGATGCAGGATTATAGCTACGTCTGGGGACAGTGCTTCGACATCACTCTGGAAGTATCGTGTTGTAAATTTCCACGAAAAGATGAGCTTCCATCCTTCTGGAATGACAATAAAAATGCTTTGATCGAATACATTAAACAAGTTCATCTAGGTAAGATGGCTCTACTCAGTTTTCTTTTGTCATAGCTAATATTCTGGTTTGCATGTGTTGTAAACAAAATATGCCCTTATGCCCTTATGGGGTACACAAGAGCCCTTATAGAGTCCTTTGTAGGTTCTCCATTGGTAGGAGAAAAAAACAGAGGCCAACCAGAGAATATTGAGAAGCAAAGCAGCTAGTAAGCATGATCTTTATTAAACTGTTGCAACAGGGTGCTCCCCCCGCCCCCCAGGAGAGAGGAGGAGGACCACAAACTATGTGTGCTTGCCCTTATAAAGCCATTTTGAAATTCCCTGCCCTGGAGCTCAAGACCACCCCTCCATACATCATACATACATCACAGAAGGGGTGTAACCCAAGACCACCCCCCACAAACATCATACCTGCATCACAGAAACAGTGGTCTACAACAGAAATTTGAATGTTGTTTTTCCTGTCTGCCAGGTTATCTGATAATACCTTATCTGATTGCCTTTTCTGGTAGTCTGGCCATTCCTTTGATATGGTAATTACCCAATTCCTGAGACAATGGGAAGGTTCTCTCACCCCCTCCCTCCTTGCAGAGAAACATTTGGTCAGTTTTGGAGTCAGAATGGTTTCAGGACTGTCTTCCTGTGCTGCTTCAGACATGTGGTTTATATATTTATGTATGTGTTTGCTAAATGGGACGCGGGTGGCGCTGTGGGTAAAACCTCAGTGCCTAGGACTTGCCGATTGCATGGTTGGCGGTTTGAATCCCCGCGGCGGGGTGAGCTCCCGTCATTCGGTCCCAGCTCCTGCCCACCTAGCAGTTCGAAAGCACCCCTAAGTGCAAGTAGATAAATAGGGACCGCTTTATAGCGGGAAGGTAAACGGCGTTTCCGTGTGCTGCGCTGGCTCGCCAGATGCAGCTTGTCACGCTGGCCACGTGACCCGGAAGTGTCTCCGGACAGCGCTGGCCCCCGGCCTCTTAAGTGAGATGGGCGCACAACCCTAGAGTCGGACACGACTGGCCCATATGGGCAGGGGTACCTTTACCTTTACCTTTATGTGTTTGCTTTGTACATTTATGAACATTTATTATATATAAGACCTTAAAATTTTTATTACACATGTTGTGAAATAAGTTCCTTAAAGAACAATGAATATTGATAAATATTCTCTGATAAATATTATTTACTGTCATAGGAGTTTTTACAGATCTGCATGCAAGCTCTTTAGCGTTCTAATTAGTATGGTAATTGCTCAGGAAGGGGGCTAAAAGTAAAGGATTTCTGAGAATGTGTTGCCAGAAAGCGACCGAAAAGGTTTCAGTTCTGTTTCGGAGAACAAAGCAATTTTACCCAGTGAAAATAGTATGAGGATTGGTAGTGCTCAAGGAAGAGAGGAAGGAGTCAGTGACTGCCCATCAACTAGGGGACAGATGGGGAACCTGTGGCCCTCTGAATATAGTTGGGCTACAGCTCAAGTATTGAGCTAGTTGGGCTAATGGGAAACAGACAGCAACTGAAGTGAAAACAGATCAAACTGATGTGTACCAGGATTTGCAAAATCGAATTGAAACACAGCTGTTTTTTTAAAGCATTTATGTGTACATACCTTTAGTCTTACGGAAGAGTACACTCCAGTGGCAATGTTCACGCATGATCCCCATTAACATGAGCAGGAAGCCATGTTTGCATGCTATGTAGTGAAGCAACACTGCCCTCCCATGGATTGCCAGGGGCAAAACCTTTAAGCAGGCTAATACATCAAGTTCACTTCCAGACATGGCCTGTTTGAGCATTTATTCTGATCTGTTTTCAGAGGAGGTCATATGCACTCACATCAAGCATTTCCCAGTCACTCTCCTTATTTAATTTTTACGAATTGTTTTGTTGTGCAGATCCAGTTTAATTGTCCAACTTGGGTTTGCCACTGTGTGGTTGAATCCCACCCACGAAAGAGCAAGTCTGGAATCAAGCTAATTTTGCTAATCCTAATATTTAGAATAAGTTTCTCCCCTCCTACAAAAACAAGTTTCTTCAAGTTCCCTTAATTTAAAACTAGGTTTTCTCTTCTGGCAGTGGTGGCTAACTTCAGGAAGTTTACTAGTATTATTGCAATTTAAAAACATACAGATCACCATCATATTTTCTTCTTTAACGTACGAAACATACACGAATTCTATTCATTCATCTATCTAATCTCATTTCACTAATACAATAGTCGACTTCCTCCTACCCCTATTACAGCTTATTCATTTATTTTTGTTTCCTTATCTTTGTAATGCGTTCTAACATGCTTTCATCCTTTTCTTTATAAATTATATTCCTCTTATTTTTTCTAATTCCATTTTGTAAAAACAAATCTATACACATCCAAATATTGCTGAGAACCATATTTACACAGATAATTTTTAAAACAATCCCATTCTTTATTTTTGTATTCGAGTGGTTTCTTATTACTTCTATCAATTTGGCCAGCTCCACATATTCACATACCGTATTTTTTGCTCTGTAAGACTCACTTTTTCCCTCCCAAAAAGTAAGGGGAAATGTGTGTGCGTCTTATGGAGTGAATGCAGGCTGCACAGCTATCCCAGAAGCCAGAACAGCAAGAGGGATTGCTGCTTTCACTGCGCAGCGATCCCTCTTGCTGTTCTGGCTTCTGAGATTCAGAATATTTTTTCCCTTGTTTTCCTCCTCCAAAAACTGGTTGCGTCTTGTGGTTTGGTGCGTCTTATACATCGACAAATACGGTAATTTCATTTGCCACTCTTCCTTCGTTGGCACCCATTCTCTTTCCCAGTATTTGGCAACTAGAACTCTAGCCACTGTGGTTGCGTAGAGAAACACTCTTTTCGTTTCTTTTGAGATATTTATGGTCATGATGCCCAGTAAGAAGACCTCTGGCTTCAAGAAGTTTTGTTTTTATTATTATTTTTTTTACTGTTCCTCTGTGTTCCCTACTTTGATGCAAAGTTTTTTTTGTGCTCCTTCCATTTGTACATTAAAAAAGAGACCATACCCACATTGATATGCTCTCTGCAGGGGATTGATTGTGGATCAACACAGCCCTTGGCCCATAAAAGGTTAACTGCCTATGTTATTGTGTTTTGAATCTGTACATTTCCCCCATACTTTGAATTACAAATGTAATAAATTGGATAGTCAAGCTTTTTTCCTAATAAACAACAAAAAATATCCTATCCAGTACAGTGGTACCTCGTGTTAAGTACTTAATTCGTTCCGGAGGTCCGTACTTAACCTGAAACTGTTCTTAACCTGAAGCACCACTTTAGCTAATGGGGCATCCTGCTGCTGCTGTGCCACCGGAGCACGATTTCTGTTCTCATTCTGAAGCCAAGTTCTTAACCTGAAGCACTATTTCTGGGTTAGCAGAGTCTGTAACCTGAAGCGTATGTAACCTGAAGCGTATGTAACCCAAGGTACCACTGTACAAGCAGTAGATAGTTCTTCCACTTCAGTGCTCCATACATGCATTGCCATGGCTTTTGTCCAGACCTTCCATGGAATTGTAGAGGCATGTGCTAGTCTTGTTCTAGACTTCTAAGGAAGAATAGTGATTCTGCCTCCACTCCTCAAGAAAAGTGTTTTGGTTCTCTGTGAATATGTTGAGGGGCAAGTTTTCCGTGTTTATCTACACAAATTCACCATATCCATTATTATCCTTAAAGAAACTAAAGGTAAATTTCCTTCCCCAATAAAATCAAAACATCAGCCAAACATTTCTTCTCTTGGAGAACGTGCATACAATACTTTAGCAAATGTTTAAACACGTTACTATAGAATGCATTTGGTGACAAAGGGCTGTTACTAGATTGTGAGTGGCTGTGCCTGTTGCTGTACTTCCTTGGCAGAAAACTTTTCTAGTTACATGCCAAAATCGAAAAGAAATGGTTTCTTCCTCTTTTGACTTCTTGCAATAGGTGTAAAAGGTCGTGTTTTGGATGAGAATGACGAACCTGTTCCAGGTGTGATAGTGGAAGCTGTCGGAAGGAGACACATATGTCCTTACAGAACCAACAAAAATGGAGAATATTATCTTCTCCTCCTGCCTGGCACCTACACACTTAATGTAAGTCATCTTGTCTTAGACCTGCACTCTGCTGTTCTGCTAAACATGGCCAAAATCCCTAGACAATTATACATGCAGGTAAAGAGCTTCTGTGCTCTTGTGGGGGGTGGGCTTGTTTTTCCTTCTGGTGCTAGTTCTCTTACACCTCATATGGGGACCAGGGCCTTAGGAGAGAAAGGGAACTGAAAACTCCTATGCAGCATTTTAGATCCCCAGAATGTGCAATTAAGATTGGGTAGGACTGCTGTGCTGATATGGCATCAAATACTTCTCTGCAATGTGGCCATGGAATTCTAGGCTCCATGACGGATTCAGCAAACACTTGTCCAAAGGTCAATTTATGAATTAAAAAGGTAATGCCATCCTTCCAAAAGCTGCCTTAGTGTTTAAGGGAGTGACTCACTTACACTCTCACTGAGGTCCTTTCCACACTTATATTAGGAGGGAAGAAATTTATATATATTCAGATTCCACTGTGAAATTAAAATGGTCTACATATTGACAAACACAACATTTTTTTCTATCTTTATTGGTCTTTAGGCAACAGCACCTGGCTCTAGCTCATTGCTACAGGAACTTCATATACCAGATGGCAGAGCACAGTTCAGTGCCCTCACGTATGACTTTGTTGTCCGCCATTTACAGACCAGACCCGAGCCTGCTTCATGCCCCACAGACCCCCTTTATTCTTCAGATTATGATAAAAACCAATCTGCCACACTGAAGCCTGCTATTACCTCCTTGGTTTTAGTTAATATCTTTTATGCAGTGTTGAGATGAAACTTTTATGTGCATATATATATATTCATTCAAATGGACTGGACAATCTTATCTTGACAATCAAACATTGGCTATTTCAGTGTAATGTAATAAAGTACTGTATTACATAAAGTATACGTTTCTTAAAGAGAACTAAATGTGCTTTGTGCTTGCACAAAAGTATGCAATGGAATTTGATTATTACAATTCACTATCCAGCAATTATGCTAATTTTTTATTAAGACATTTATGGACCACTTGGTTTCAATCTGTAAATTTTGAAGTTTGATTTTACCAGTGGACTAAGCTACCTTCTTTTTCCAATTAGCACCTCATAAAAAGGCATGAAGGCCTCCTAATGAGGATACCAAATTAGTACCATGAGGTTGCAAACCTAAACACAAGGGGGAGGGGCCCTACTGGACACTACAAGACTAACTTCCGAGTACAGCTGGCTGGACTCTGTGTTTGGTTATAATTACAACAAACTCCCATGCACGTTTATTCTGCTGTTACTAAAGCAGCACAGGGGGTACCAGTGGTCCCTCCAGGTGTCAACTTCCTTCAGCTCCAGCCAGTACTCAGCTATGGACAGGGTATCAATTTTCAGCGATTTACTAAAAAGATAAAATACTGGTGTTCAGTGCCATTGTTATGGTAGCCAAAGCTGGAGAAATCTCATGTGCAAAACCTTTGTAATAGTGTTTTGGATGCCCTCCAGATGATCCAGAAACAGGTGGTTGGGAGAGATCATGACCCATTCCTGCCCCTATACAAGATGACACAGTGCATAAAAATAAGGGACCAAAATAAGCAAACTGCTAAAGTCCTGCTTGGCCGCCAGGGGAACAAGATGCTGACCAGATGGGACCTTTGGTGTGATCCAGCAGGCTCATGTCCTTAACATAAAATACAAAATGTTTTGATCGCATGATTTAAATACAGAAGGTAACAAGCCAGTCAGAGAAAGCAAACCAGCGAGATTTACTGAAAACCGGGGATTTGTTAGTTTAATTCAAAGCTTGTACATTTATTGCACTGAATTTCAATATTTTACGTTTTGTTCAAATGAACTAAACCCATTACAATGGCAAAAATGGAATGTTAAGCCTCTTGCCAATGAGACTAAGAATATACATTTAAAAATCTGCTTTTTGACCAAGTTTTCACATATTTGAGGATGAAAACAAAATTTAATTTCAGTTTAACAGACTTTTAAACCTTTACCAGAGAAATGCAGATATGGTGGCTATGATTAAATAACCCCTTTAAACACACTTCACTGGATTTTGCAAACTAGCTATTATTTTCCATCATCCAGGGAATACTGATTTCTCCCATTAACACTTCCTAATGGTCTTTGTTGCAGGCCTGGTAAAAGAGTGTAGGCTTCCAGAAAGGGAAACTAGAGATTTAGTGCTGGAGATCTGTTAACTCTTCATTTAAAATGCTGCTCTCTACCTAGCCCCAGAGCAAATTTATTCCTCCCGCCTTAACCATGTATGTGCAAAGACTGGCATTAACACTAACAAAGCTGCACTGGCACAACCTGCCACCCCAAACTGCAAAGGACTGCACAGTCTTCATATACACAAATGGAGGCAAAAACTGTGGGCTGTAGCACGTATGAAGAAGATAAAGCAAATAAAAGGGGGAATGAAACTAGGTTAATTTGTATTCTTGAAAACTTAAGTAAAATATTTATTTAAGAAAGAGACTAACCAGGCTTCCATCTGCCTTGGATTCAAACCATGCTAGAGACACAAAAATGTTCTGTTTCTGCTAATAACCAGTTAAAGTGCAATGGATTCCAGAGAGGAGGCGAAAGAAATACCCACAATCCCACAGCTTGCTTCTGATCCCTTAACCAGAGTTAAAAGATTATCAGTCTCTCTGCACAGAGTTTGCCCTACAGCCTTTTGACTAAAATCACTTTTCTGTAAATGCAAGTTGTATCTAGTCTTCAAGCATGGTTGAAAACAATGGAAGCTAGTACACTTTTTAAAAAATGCTGTAATTTCAATCTCTTTTCTGAATAAAGAATGCAATTTTTAGACACAGAAGATTTGGACTGGAAGAATAAGACTAAAAAGATCTCACCACAAACACTAAATCCGTTCATTTGTTGCCATGCTTCCATACATCACTTTGCTTGGGCTAATTGTTTGCTACTGGGGCTAAAAAGGAGGTTGTGAACATTACAATTAAACCCATCGGCTTCAGCACAATGTTGTCTCTTGTAGGAAAATCCTGTGAAGAAGGTATAAAAACTTTTGTAAACTTTCAATATTTTTTGTACAAAATTTTATTTTAGGGCTGTAGGGTTTCTTGAAGCAATTCTGCTTGTATCTCAGTTAGCAAAAATAAGTTAGCAGGATCATCTCAATTGGCTGCCTGCAGACCAAACAAGGCTTGTTCCGCTTCTTTAGCTTTTTTGCACATGTGAAACATGACAGGAGGTGTCCCGTCCTTCCGTGAACTATGCAACCATTTTTGGGCCGAGTTTGGCATATGACACAGGGCTCCACACCGGAAAGGGGTAGAACTAAATCAGTGCTTTCTTCTTTGACTTCAGCCTCGTCCGTCTCAGGTTCTTTATAGTCTTCTTGGCTTCCACAAAGCATACTGCTAGATGTAGATGGCTGAGAATAGTCCTCACTTTTCTGAGAGTCAGAGCTCTGTTCTGAGTCATCCTCTGCTTCATCTTCAGGTGTTTTCCCTTTCTTACAGTCAGGAACATCAAAGCCCTCCTCGGGATCCAGTGGTGTGTCAGTTTCAATTTTGCCCTCTACAGACTTTTCCGTCTTCTTCTCAGGAAGCCAGTCTTCCTGAAGAGCCCAGCATTTTGGGCAATGGCGTGGAAGAGGTGGGTTCATTTTATTGCACTTGGAGCACTTCCAATAATCCTGTAGTCAATTAGACATGAAACAGTTAAGCTACCATTTACCAAAATAAAAAAAAGCAAAGATCAACCATTTTCCTCCTCTGCACAGTCAAGAAACATTGGTGATATCATCAGATTAAGACATACTGAAATCAGTGGGCTTAGGTCCACTGATTTTAGCGGCTCTATTTCAAGTATTACGAATACCGGATATCATATGCAGATATTACTACACCCACAAGGGGAGGAGGAAGGATGCTCAAGATAGGAAGCATGGGCTGCAATCCCACTAGCCTTCAGCATCATATAAATACTGATTGTGCAGACTGTGGGCTAGCAGGTCTATCAGTTTATGTTGCTCAACAGAGGAACAGTTGCACTAGCAGAAAATTGTTTTGCAAGATGTGAAACAAAGTTACCAGCAACTTGCTTATAGTTTTGTGCAACAACGTTCCATTGGTGCAAACCATTTCACCTGTGCTATACTGTACTGCCAAGCAACTTAGTGCTACAGTCAAATCTCAGCTCCTGAACGCCAAAAAAAAAAAAAAAAAAAAAAGGAAGTAAATGCTCGAATGTTTTTTTGGAAGCAAAACATCCAACGCGGCTTTCGCTTGAGAGCAGGAAGCTCCTGCAACCAATCGGAAGCCGCGCCTTGGTTGTTGAACATTTTGGAAGCCAAACGGGCTTCTGGAACAGATTACATTCGACAACAGAGGTTTGACTGTAGTACATTGCATAAAACCCTTTGTCTAGCTGGCATCTACTGGGGAAAAGTTGCATGATTAGTTGGCTCTTGTGCATTGCCTGGTCAAATCTGACCTTCTATCTCATTGGCATGACACCCATAAATTATAAGAGATCAACAGTCTATTCCTACTGTCCAACACACCCAGTATTCCTAATGTTAGCTGCTTTTGATCTGCTATTTTACTGTTTTTTGGTTTGGACGTACCCATTTTCCAGCATAGCCTACCCACTAAAGCAACCTTTCCCAACCCTGCAGTCTGGAATGCACAACTCCTATCAGCCACAGCCAGCATGGTCATGCGGTCTGTGGCCAATAGGAATTGTAGTCAAACATTCAGAGGGCGCCAGGTTGGGGAATGTTGCTATAGCATATACAAAAACATCTAATTTTAAAAGCTGCAATTTACTCTAAATGAAGACGTTACTTACACCTGGTGAAATTTCAGGATCATCATCAAATGAATCCACATCACTGTCTTCAGTCTGATATATAGTTACCTCATACATCTGATGGAAGAAAATGTTTAGATTCCAATTACACAAATATGCAAGGCGTTAGAACTCCAAAGAGACAAATTGTACTAGTGTAAACGTTGTATTTCTCTTCCATTAATTACTGAGGTTCCAACTGATTCCAACACTGCAAAAGATCACTGTGATCCTCTCTACCATTAAAATCTGCCTGGAATACAGACAATACTATATCAACAGGACAACCTAATTTACCCTGTTGAGAAATTATGCAACTTTTTTTTTTTTGCAAAAACAATTAACAGTAAAAACTGGAGAGGGGAAAGAGGATGGTATGAAAAATTGTCGGAAAGCTTAACAAGGACTTCAAGTCAGTCTCTATAATCATCATCTTTTTTTAACCATTTATCAGATAACAATTTGTGCTTCTCAGAAACTTTTAGGAACTATAACTGTTAGGGGGGAAACTTACAAGAAAACCCATAAAGCATATTTGGAAAAGGTCCACAGGACAGTGGCAGTCAGAGCACATATTCTGATTCAATCCCAGGTAAATGGATGTCATTGGAAAGGCTTTGGTCTAAGATGCGAGTGGCTGCCAGTCTGAGTCAAGCGTTCATAGATTTTCTTCACTACCATTCCAATTAACTTTAATTCTCCTACCTCATCATCTTCTTCTGTAAGCTCAGATTCTTCTTCATTGATACTGTAGTTTTCTGAACAGATGGATTCAACCTCAAACTCAACACTGAATTGATCTGAAACAGAATCCTCATCCAGCCAGTCCGCTGTTTCACTTAAGCTGTCATGATCCTGGAAGAGGCCAAGGTGTAATAATGTCCTTTTAGTCAAGTTTGTAACTAGAACTAACAGTAATGAAATTAATGGCTTTGAATTCCATAGATAGCCACCTATTTCTGTAAAATACGTTGATGCAATAATCATGGAAATAAGGGAAGAGCTGCTTGAAGTAACAGAAATAAACCTGTGTCAGTATGGGGAGACTAATCAATTGCAGCAAAATTCTGTGTAACCGGTTTGCATTTTCCAACCGGACTAGTTTGTTACCGGTCAGATATGAATGAGCTGAGGCAGAATTCCAGTGCAAGCAAAGCTGATCTTTTATTATCTGTTGCAACAGAGTCTTTCTCTCCCCGTCCCCCACCCCTTGTCAGGAGGTGAAGGACCCAGAACAAGGAAAACCCCATCTTTTTAAAGGTTAGCATTTTTGGCATGGAGGAGGACGCCCTCTTCTGCAAGTGTCAGGGTCACCTGGGATATGTGTCATGGTTACATCACATACTAGGTGGGGTCAGGCAGACCAGGGTGTCAAATGCCTGAAGATCAGCATGTTTCACACAGTTCCAGACAGAGTTTACACAAAGTATTGACACTGAAAATAGAACTTGGGGTAGTCAACATGATAACAGCTGTGCTCAGCAGGATCCAGAGATTGATTCTATGTAGAGTACCTGAGCAAACAGGGCAACCTTCTAGGGTGACTAACACATTGCAGATTGTGGGAGCTTCCCTGATGGGCATCCTGCCAACATAACCCTAGGCTTTGGGGATTATGGAAAACCCAAAGATTCTCACAATGCAATATAACATACACACACGCTATAGGCTCAAGAATAATACATTTACAAGTGAACTTAGTTCCATAGAGAAATTCAGGTTTTCCTTGTTTAAAGCAGGCTAGAGTGAAAGTATCTGCCTTAAATGTTGAAGAAAGGTGAGGGCACGTGTAGGGTGGTGCTTTGAGTCAACGTAAGGATACACTTATTTAATGTGCATCCTGGAGACGTGGCAGGGCACACAGCGATGAACAGAGAGGGGGAAAGGGGGATATGTAATGGGCATTTTTCTGGTAACAATCCTCCCTTTGGGAGCATGGTAAGCTTTTCCTATGATGAGATACATATCACTGCATATTAGTAGCTGTCCAAATATGAACAGATTCTGACAACCAAAAATATGTATCACCACATTAAATGTTTTGCTGCAATGACAATCTTCAGGAAAAAAAACATTATCAATGGGGTTTGAGAGAGAGAGAGCAAGCAGGAGCATGGGCCTCTGCACTGAAGAGATGAAACTGTAACATTGGTTTACATGAACAGGCTGACACAGTGAGACATTATGAGTTATGTGTCTCAATTCACCCAGGCAGATACCAAGTGATTTTAAGCTTTCAAGTTAGAGCCTTATATTTGCTTTGACTAGGGTACTATACATTTCTGAAAACACTTAGCAGTAACAATAGTAGTGGTGAAACACATGTCATCCTAAAATGTGTCTTAGAGCTCATTCTGTTTTAACATTTACTAAGCACCAGTAGATTAAGATACTGAGAACAATCAGCTCAGGCTGCTCCCACCTAAGTATTCAAACACTAATTTTGCTACATAATTGGAAGAAGGTCATCCATATGGGAAAAGGTCAAACTTTAATAGCCAGCAATTCAGAGAAACTCTCTTTTCTGATGCTGTTATTTCTGTTCAGCAGAATTTGGCTTCATCGCTGAAAATGTTCATAACCATTACCAAATGGAAAAGATTCAGGCTGTGACCAAAACATATTGGGCGTGGGTGCAAATAGTTTTCAGTAGTCTAGACAGCTTAGCACATAAAAAACCCATTAACAGACCTTACTATTTCTGAATACATGAGATGACTGAATGCTTCCTGTATTTTCTGGGGTTTTTTTGTTGTTTTCTTTTGGGGGGGGGTAGGGAAGAATAGCAAATTGCAGAGAAGTGTAGCCTAGAGAACTTCCCTCTGGCATACTACATTCTGTATACATGGGGACAATTCTACAGTACACTGGAAGGGCAGGTGAAAAAGAGGGCAGGACTCCAGCTTGTTTAACAGCTGTGCAGAACAGGTAATTTCAGCAGGTAATTTGCATGACAAGCTACAGTATAACTTCTGAATCTCATTCTTCCACACAACTATGAAATATGCAGGAGCACTGTCCTCTATATCACCTGGTGATACCATTTTAAGATACAATGAGGACCTAAAAAAATGGGAGAGACTTAAAGAAAATAGTTTCCTCATGAAAGTCCATTACTACTTACCGGACTGGATGAAGAGCCTGTGGAACTGCTGATGTTGCTAAGATCACAGGGTAAACCGCTTACTACACACCATGAAAGACTTTCATCAAATGTAAGAGAAATGCTGTCTGATCTATGCCGTTTCAGTCTTTCATCATTCTTATCTTCTAAAGGACTTTCTTCTGCAGGATTAAAAAAAACCCAACCTCTTAGCAAATACAGTGGTACCTCAGGTTACAGACTCCGCTAACCCAGAAATAGTACCTCGGGTTAAGAACTCTGCTTCACGATGAGAACAGAAATTGTGCAGCAGCGCTGCGGCAGCAGCAGGAGGCCCCATTAGCTAAAGTGGTACCTCAAGTTAAGAACAGTTTCATGTTAAGAACGGACTTCCGGAACAAATTAAGTTCTTAACCCGAGGTACCACTGTACTTCTACAAGTTTTGCAGTTCCTGATTTTGGTATGGGACTTCTTGGTTCAGTCTCTCCCCCCCCCTCCTTTCTGCCATGTTATCCCAAAGCATCCAAAAATACTGATGCCCCTAAGACTTATCACTGCAATAATATACTTTTCATCACTCCACATTTACTGTACAGTGGTACCTCGCAAGACGAATGCCTCGCAAGACGGAAAACTCGCAAGACGAAAGGGTTTTTGGTTTTTTGAGTTGCTTCGCAAGACGAATTTCCCTATGGGCTTGCTTCGCAAGACGGAAACGTCTTGCAAGTTTGTTTCCTTTTTCTTAAAACCGTTAATACAGTTGCGACTTGACTTCGAGGAGCAACTCATAGCACGCGGTGTGGTAGACTTTTTTGAGGTTTTTGAAGACTTTGGTGATTTTTGAAGCTTTTCCGAAACTGTGCTTCGCAAGACGAAAAAATCGCAAGACAAAAAAACTCACGGAATGAATTAATTTCGTCTTGCGAGGCACCACTGTATAGTGTTAGAAGCTTGCACAGAAGCCACTGGCATTCCAATGTAACAGGCACAGCAATTATATAGCACAGTCAGATACAAATCTACTCAGAAGTCATTTAATTCAATGGTGCTTACACCCAGGTAAGTGAATATAGGACTGCAGCTGTAAAGATGCAAAGGAAATTTTACATTTCAGGTGTTAGAAGAGATAATATTTAAATCTCTGAGTGAGGGCCATATTCTCAGTACAGCACACTTGCTTTAAATAACTTTCTCAGTCTCAGGTCCCATTTGGGAAATGCAAATAATCACTTCCTCTACAATGCTATTATGGCAAATGCAAATAACTATAATGTACACAGGTACTGTAATGAATATTAAAGTAAAAATTTCCAAAGGCTGAAGAAAACTGACAAGCAACTCAAACACAAACAGCTAACATTAGAAGCATTTGTGGGCAAGAAGATTTCAGTTTTCACAAGTTTCTTGGGTGATGAACTTAGCTGAAATAAGGATTATGTCCCCACACAAGTTAGGGAAAAGCAGGAATCCAGAAGTGTTTTTTGCCCACACTGACATCCAGTTATAAGTAGGCAGCTATATGTCTGCTCATAAAGGACGGTAAGCTATGACAAGTTATCACCCAGCACAGTGGAGTGAGATATCCAAAACAGAAGGTGTGGAACTTAGGCCATGGCTCGAAGGGTTGCTGTACTGGGATTTTCAAATAATCGCTTCCACCGAGACACCAGGAAACCAACCCTCAAGCTTGAAGCAGCAAAGTCACTCTTCTCACAAACATCCAATTTTGTGCGTTCTATCACTGACTTGAGTTTTGGATACCTGAGTTACTATAAGCACTGAAACCGACAAAGCAGAAGGCTGTGCTCACCTGTTTCACTGTGTGCTCTTCTCCTAGAAGAACTGGCTTCACTGGATTCTTGGACCGATTCCTGTTTAGTTAAAAACAAACAAATAAGCCAAACCCCTCAGATATCTCTTTAATCTTTACCGTTCCAGATGTTACACTTCAAAGTGTGGAAATAAAGAATGTAACATGTAATTAAAATTACCTTTATAGTATTTCCATTTTCTACTTGCCACCTGGACTGATTCACAGATGTGTTAAAATTACTAGAGCCTTCAAAAAGAAATGCATATTGGAAGTCACCAAAAAGGGACAGCAAGAGGTTCAAATACACATTTAAGAACAAACGGATTAATACACTGCAATTCCATAAATATAAATTGCTCAAAATCCTAATTGAGGAATAAAGTATGCATTGGAGTAATGCACAGACACGTGAACAGCAAAAAATTTGAAATAACCTATAAGACAAATCAACGAAGCTTATTTATTGCTTTACATGAATTAATCGTCAAATTCAAGATCCTTTCTATGTTCATCATTTAAAAGCTGAATCCAACTAGAACAAATTTTGAGAAATTTGGGGATAGAAAAGGATACAACTGGGAATCACACTTATATTTTGTATGATTTGTGCATATGATTCACAAATGACAACTGCATGGTGGCAAGCAGGTGCATTCTGGAAGACTGGGTTCATCCAGACATTTGGATCGGTTCAGGACCTTAATTGTGGTATTTTAATGAGTGGAATACTAGTTCTATTTTCAACCCACATGTGGGTAAATCAGCTTTCTTACTAGCCACTTATTCATCACCGTCCTAACTGTTCCTATTTATAATTCTTGGGAAAAGCCCAGCAGATAGGTATCCCAATCCAAATAATCCATTTTAGGTGGGGCAGTACAAACTCCCAGCTGTTCCTTTTATAGATTGTTGGTTCTAATTTTTCTTTTTTTAAAATATGATTTTTATTACATTTTCTGTTTTACAATTTCAAATAAACATTTTACATACTTAAAGATATCAGTGACTTCTCTTCTCCTCTTTCCGTGGTTCATTTTACATATCTTATATCCCTGCATATTTTACAAAAACTATACCAATTGTTTTTCCATTATTACATCCATCAAAACCTATTTACACTGTTGAATTTATGTACACAATTATTTTCCATATAGTTTCAGTTACAGCTGAAACAGTAATCCACAGGATACATGGATTATCCCATTTACTATTCATTTGTTTTCCAACATGGAACCCAGGGCAGCATACATGAAGTTCTTGGGTAGTTACCAACCCAGACACTATCCAGAAACTGACCTGTGTAGCTTCCTCAAGGTGATGTCAAACCAACCCAAATCAACCTTACTGTACAACTTAAAATTATCACATCCTTCCCTCATCCAGGATAAAGAAAAGCATCATTATAGCAATCTAGCTTACCTTGCTGACTGACTGCTATCAGGTTTTTAGAAATCATCAAACGTAGTTGCCTAAAAAAAAAAAAAAAAGTTAAAAGTTTATGAACTAGATATTTATATGCTTTTGACACCTTGGTTAAAAAAAACCTGGACCCACCCCATGCCTAATAGCAGTTCAAATTATGTGATCTTTCCCCTATCAATTACCTACCGTATTTTTCGCTCCATAAGACACACTTTTTTCCTCCTAAAAAGTAAGGGGAAATGTCTGTGCGTCTTATGGAGTGAATGTGTGGTCGATCGCTGGCTCCCTTTCTGGCCCCGCCCCTTTGCCCAGGCCTCCATTGTTGAATGTTCTGCAGAGGGAGGCTGTTTCTCTCAGCGACATGTGACTGGCTGATTAGATTATCTGTCTGGAAATTGTAGAAACCGCTCCTTTCCTTTCCCAAAGAAGCTGCAGAACTATGAGTTGAACCCCATAAAAACAGGATATTTTCCCTTTGCAAAGTAAGCCCAACAACTTTGAGCTGATCCCCCCCAAAAACAGGGCTTTTCCCCTTTGCAAAAGAAGCTGCACAACTGTGAGCTGATCACCCCAAAAATGGGGCTTCCCTCCTTTCCTCCTCTAAAAACTAGGTACCTCTTATGGTCAGGTGCGTCTTATGGAGCAAAATTTGTATATTAGCCTCAGATAAAATACAGAGGGTCATATTATATCAAGTGACCCAATATTTTTACCCCATGTCTTCCAATTTTCTTAATATGTTGTACACTTGTTGAATGATCAAAACTTAAGTTTAAATCTAAAATTTAAATGAAATGAAGTACCAACAATAATTATTTAAAAGTGTTACTTCTATCATGCAACAGCAAGCTATCACTCTGCTTTGAAACACATTTTTAAACGAAAAGCCTGACTAGCTTTTCAGATACCTTTTAATTGAATAATTTTCTAAAGAAATGCCTGAAGTAACTGATATTATAGTTTGAAGTCTTGTTTATTCTGTTATATTTTACTCTAAGACCACCCGTTTATCCTAAAAAAACTCAATCAGGCAGACATGTACAAAATATTTTTTTCTTAATGTGATCCCATTGAGATCCCAAGATGAAATTTTGCAGGTAGCTCTTAGAAATATTAATCAATACATTTTGGGGAATTTTTAATCATTAATTGTAATCACTTTTTAAATTTTTAAATGTTGTAACTTAACTTTAAAATTTAAAGTAAGCCCATCAAGTGACATATTATGTTAAAGCCCATGAAGCTCTGACCAGATTGGTATTTTTAGTTTTGAAACATCTCAATTCTGGGCTAAGTTTTTAGGGTTTTTGTGTAGTCTGGGGGCAAGGCCAAAATTGTAAAATTTTTGAAATTTAAAACCCTCATAACTCAAACGTTGGATGAAATAAAAAATTAAAATTTTAGATTTAAACTTAGTTGTGATCATTCAACAAGTGTACAAAATATTAAGAAAATTGGAAGACATGAGGACAAAACCTGGATCATTTGATAATGATTGAACCTTATTATAAAGGCTTTGCTTACTTTACATCAATGCTTTCCTCCTTTTGTTCAGACTACTGAGATTGTTGGAGAGTAGAAGCTTAGAGTCATAATTCATTAACATAAGTAGTTCTCCAAACCAAAATTAAACACAAAAGTTAATTACTGTATGGGGACAACACAGTAAGTGGAATTCAGGTCTAAGAAATAAAGGCGCAGAACTGGACATCCCAGTCAACAGGCAACTCATAGGAGCATCTAAAGGTAGAATAAGCACTCTCCAAAGGTCTTAGATACAACAGGGCTTTTTCAATATGTAGGCCTGGTTCACACATCATGGTAAGCCAAACTGAGAACAAACCTTGGCTATAGATAGTGGTTAAGGAGAGCACTTGGTGTGTTGGGATAGAGGGTAGAAAACTGAATATCTGGCATGTAAGAATGTGCCAGTAAGATAACACATGTGCTCAGCATTTAATACCAGGCTGCAAAAAATATTTTTACCTGCATTCTTTTATAGAAAAACTCTGTACTCCAAAGATATCACCCAGAAGATCATTTGCACAGTGGACAATATGTTGCTGCTTTTCATCATACAAACGTTTAGACATAATATATTGACCAATATAGAACATTACCTGTAAGAGCAAACATAAAACAATGCACTTTTTTGTAATATAAGATCAACTAGCACACTTCCTAGTTGAGCTCAAGAATATTACTATACACATTTTAACTAAAATTGTTTCTCATTAAGCCGTAGCACAATCAAGAATTTGAACCTAAGGTTAAGTTATGTAGGTAAAAAGGCAGAACTGAGAAGAACCTACAGCGACAAACTTCTTTAGCTTTTAAGCAGTTTTGTTTAATTGCCGTTTCATTTTTGTATCATTTTTTATTGTTACAGGTTATATATTAAGTTTCACCACAATATTCTCTGCAATAACCGTAACTTACCTCCTTCATAGTAAAAGTCTCCTTTTCTGCACCAGCAAGCTTCAGAAGTTGCAGCAGCAACGGCTTGGGTTTAACCTGGAAACATAAAAAGACGCAGCTCGATTTAAATGGTTATGTTCCTGTTCAAACAATTTGGGGGGGGGGAGGCGGTAGCACCATAACAAAACGAAACAAAAAACCCACAAAGGAAGAGGCAAATCCTTTAAATGAAACGGGTTTGCGTGGTCCTAGCAGGTTTCCTGCAAACCTAAAAATCTAACATTTGCACAAGAGTCCCCGGGGCAAAGGTTCCCCCGAATACTGACCAACTTTTCCGGACGCGTTTGGCTGCTGCCAGATGTGCCCTCGATGGGCTGGTCGGTAGTAGAGGCCATCTTAGTCGTATTGCACGTTTCCCTGAGAGGATTAGAAGGAACTTCGGTTAGGTTCAGCGGTTACGGGTTTATGTCCGTCCCCCCAAGGTGTCCCCGCCAACAAGCGGAGCCGCATAAAGCCCTCCGGTCGCCCGTCTCCTCACCAGGGTTAGACCGCCGCTTCAGAAAGAAACGCAGCGAAAGGCCCCGCCTGGGGTCGAGTATGAAGAGCGTCGCCTACCGGCCGGACTACGACTTCGTCCGGGGCAAGTCCGGACTTCGCTCCCCTGGCTGACCGCGGCCCGACATGCCCGAGCATGACTCGCAAGATCAACACTGAGTCAGGCGGGAGGGGAGCCACGCCGCCGCCATTGGATCCTCCTCCCCACATAAACACACACACATAGATTCTGCCCTTTCCCTCGCTCTCCGTACCTCAACGGGTCCCCCTCAGGAAGGGCCCTCGCCTCAGTTCTCCCAGGCAGGCTCCGCTTCACCCACCCACACGCAGGGAAAGGCACGCGTCTACCTCAACGGCCGAGGAGGCCGAATTGCACGCCGAAGGCCGCCATTTCAGGCCCGACAACGCGGCCATGCCCTGCCTGGGTTTTGCCGCGGCGCAATAAACTGGCTTCTTGGGGCGGCGTCTCTCGAGCGCCCCCGTCGGCCCTGCCCAACCCGGCAGCCGGTTCTTTGCGCCAGTGGCGCGCTTCACGGCCTTTCCTGCAGTGTTTCGGGGACCGTTTCCCCCCGCTTGGTAGGGTGCGTGTTGAAGAGAGCCTATTCCGAAGGAACTGTCGAGTACATTGTTCGTGAAATGCCGCCGCGGCCTTGTCTTTCAAGGAGCCTGTCCCGACGGGCGGGCAGGCGGGTTCGTCCTTGGCGCCACCCCGGGAAGGAGTGGGGCGCCTCGCGGGATGGGAGGGTGGCGACGTGGTGCCTCGTCTGCGAGGCGGCCTCCTCACTGCCACGCTGCGCATATACCAGAGACTGTAATTGGCTGTGCTCTTCACTTGTAGTGGCGGGGTGTGTGTAGAGATTTAAAGTCATGGGTATGTGTGTTTTTTTCATACGCTGAACATTCCTGCGGTTGGGACCCCGCCACGCAGGTGAGACTCCTCTTCCGACCTATATTCTCATCTCTGGCCGAGATCACACCATTAAAGTGACACATGCAGCTGCATATGCGCCACAGTAATGCACACGCTCAAACCCTCAACCTGATTATGTGCGTTTGTTTTCTGTTACCAGGAAAATGCCCATTGCATGCCCCCCCCACTTTCTGGTTTCTATACATCTTGTTTTGTGCTGCCCTGCGTCCCACCACATGTCCCCAGGATGCACATAAAGTAAGTGCCCCCTTATGTCGCCCAAAGCACCACACTACATATGCTCTCCAGGGAATCCACCCTGCTCCCCCTTACCTGTTTGTCTGGTTCTAATGGAGGCATGGACCCCCCCAACCTTTCTTCATCATTTAAGCCTTCACTCTAGCCTTATTAAAAACAAGGGAAAGTTTAATTTCTCTATGGAACAATGTACAGTATAGAATTGTTTAATAAATGTCTACACCCGCCATAATCCGCCTTGCCTGAGGTCATGTAGGCTGCTGCCTGTTGGCTTAATTAAGGTTGCAATCCTGCACCTAGTTTCCTTAAGTAAGCCCCACTGCATTCAGTGGGAATTACGTTTGAGTAGACAGTGCAGAAGACTGCAGTGTAATTGTGCTATTATCAGCTAAAGAGAGAAGGAGCAGGTAGTATGCCCCCAAACAGTCAAGATCTGCTAATGGTTAGCAAAAGTTGATTCCCAAAGACAATGACCACACTTCTAGCAAATTCAGGTTAGACATGGACACTGTGCAAACACTACATCCAAAACAAACTAGGTTATACAAATAAAAAGGGGGTGAGGCAGATAGAACAGGGAGAATGCAAAATTAGAACGAGAAATAATACCCCATACTTGTACTTTTTTAGTTCCATTTAAAACCTGTTCATGACTCACCTCATTAGCCCTTATCAGCCAACATTCATAGAAACATTGAATTGTAGAGTATGGATCCCAATGGTCATATAGTCCAACCCCCTGCAATGCAGGAAATCTGCCCACAGCCATCCCTGGGTGGGATTGAACCACCAACCTTCTGGTTAACTGTGACATACTGACCCATTGCACCAGGCTCAATTATGGACAAGTGTTCTTCTAACCTCTGCCCTTTCCTCCAGCAGCCCTTGAGATTTTATCAAGTTGGAAAAAGTAGCTTACTTTTGAAATAGGATTTTAAAGGAGGAAGTTGGAAGGTGGGGCAACAAATTATATTGCTTCTGCGAACAGAATGCTGAAGGCTATAGCTTGTGAAAGAAGTCACAAGGTCTTAAAAAAAAATAATGCTGTCCCAGCTAAGTCACACACCAGGCTAAACCGCATTTCCGAAATTATTAAGATGTTTTTGCTTTTAAAAAAACCCCCAGCAGTCATGTTGTCAATGAGGAAGTTAGCTTTCTGAACAAATTGGCATCTTGTGGAAACAAGACATGAAAACAAAGTCAGTGAATTGAGAGAGAAATGGTAGTTACTTAAGCATAGTTACCCACCAACCACTAAAAGTACTAAAGTTGCTTGTAACATAATGAACACTCCTCATTTTGGCATATCTCCAGTGAAAAACCACCATGGTGACACAGTGTTCTTGCTTAAGTGTTACCCTAAGTGCACACAGTACCCAAGCATAAGCCATGCAAACTCGAGTCCATGTCATGCATAATGGATTGTGCAGTTTTCAACTGTTTGTACAGGTGAAGGGATAGCAATAGGAGGCAAAGGTATTGTTTGCGAGTTAAAAGGTAAAAGGTAAAGGACCCATGGACAGTAAAGTCCAGTCAAAGGCGATTATGGGGTTGCGGCACTCATCTTGCTTTCAGGCTGAGGTAGCCAGTGTTTGTCCACAGACAGCTTTCCGGGTCATGACTAAACCGCTTCTGGCACAACGGAACACCGTGACAGAAACCAGAGTGCACGGAAATGCCATTTACCATCCTGCCACAGCAATACCTATTTATCTATTTGCACTGGCGTGCTTTTGAACTGCTAGGTTGGCAGGAGCTGGGACAGAGCAACAGGAGCCCACCCCATTGTGGGGATTTGAACCAACCTTCCGATTGGCAAGCCCAAGAGGCTCTGTGGTTTAGACCACAGCGCCACCCGCGTCCCAGTAAATCAGGATACTCAAGAGTTGCAGATCAGATAATCCTACTCTGATGCATAATAATAATAATAATATTTTGTTGGAAGCCGCCCAGAGTGACTGGGGAAACCCAGCCAGATGGGCGGGGTATAAATTCATTATTATTATTAACGAAACAAGTTACTGGCAAGGTTGATTAAACAGCTGAGTTTCACAAGGGATTCATGAAGAAAGTTTAGACAAATTTCCCAAACAAAGCTGAAGACATAAACACATTAGGAGCACACTTTGTTCTAATAAGTGCATCAGGTAGATTAGGTAAAATAGTGGAAAAGTGCCATGTATTTAATTGGGTGCGAAATCATGTCATCTGTACTGACATCTGATTCCAAATATTTATTGTGTCCTATAACATCAGGCTCAATTCACTTAGATTTCCAAACCCCCCAACCCATCATGGGTTTTGACCCATGTTAGATGGGGATTCAGTTCCCTAATTCTTAATTTCTCAATTTAATTCTTAAATTCCAGAGATTTCCCCTCAACTCAATTCATCACCTCGCTCCCCATGCTGTTTTTATACTTCATTGAACCACTCCTCCAATCCACTCTCTAATCTGGGAAATACACAGTAACTCACCTTCCACAAAACCCAGCAGTGAAGGAACAGAGATTAATGAGGTTAGCTGGACATAGCAACAGGAGAGGCAATCATCTCTGTCTTTGGAAGTCTAAGCTTCATAACCTCAGAACAGCTCAGAGGGAGTTTAACGGTGTTTGTGGCCATGAAGAATTTGGTAAATTACAGTAGGGAAAATGTGCAATGTGCCTTAAGTATTTTCTGCCTCATACATTCTAAACATTTGCACCAGGCAGTAAGACATTAAGGAATGTAGGTTGCTTCTGTTCTTATGAAAGAGGCCTGTGTGTCTCTAAGACAGAGATCTGATTCAACAGAAAAGCGTAGTGCCTCTACTATTTATGGTTAATGTACAACCAAAACAAAGTGCAGAACAGAGCTGAGATGTACAAGTTTTTGATAAAGATTGGGAAGACAAGATGTCAATTTTGCACTAGTGGAATGGTTAGAAATCTGTTTATGGCAAAGTGAGCATATGACTCATAACTTCTCATCCTATGATTATGAAAAATATATAGGGGAACATCAGATATAGAATTGCAGAAGTGCACGTAATATTAGTTTTGCATTGTAGAGGCAGCAACCTTTAACAATACTGTTCTCTTAAATGAAAGCACCACCACCATATCCATAGCTCTTAAATAACTTAAAAGGGAGACAAATTATACTGCTTCAAAGAAAGTCCTTAGGCAAGGCTAATAATTAAGAACTGTTTTATTCAATCAGCGAAACCAAGAATTTAAATAAAACTTTTCATTCTAACTACAGGATGCGTACATTTGGATTCTTAGTTTGTGCATTTCATTTACATTTTCTGCCACTGAGAAGACCAACTTCAGCGTTCAGCGCCATTTGTACCTTATACATTCTTATTGTACACTGTATTTACAGTAATATCCTACAACTTCAAACCATGTTACATTTGAATGAGATAAGAGTTTAACCATTTTATGCTACCTTTTCAGACACAGAATTGACTTGCAGGAACATTATACCTCTTGAATCCACGTTGTTAAGAGGCTACTTTGTGTCTTTATAAAGGCATCTGAATTAGTCTTTTAATTAAACAGATCCTTGTGGCGTATTTATCTTTCAGAAAAGCTTGTGCACAGCACAAAATTAGTGCAAAATTGTTTTGTCAGTGCATACATTGGAACAATACGCACTTCAAGATCATGATGTTCTGAACATATTTTTCTGCAGCCTATTTTTAACACTAATTACAGATATTTAAGAAAGTAACTTATTTTGTAAAGTATCTAAAACTGTTAGACATGAAATGAAATGGTCTATCAAAATACAGGACCCCCCCAGGGTATATTAGGCTACTGAAGGATTTGGGCTACAAACACAACCAAAACATTTGAGAACTGAATAATCATTGAACACTGGCTCTTTTCTGAGGTGGTTGTTTCTACATTGTATTGCTCAAATCACTAAAAGAATTTGGGAACTAAGATTTGCATCATAGTTGTGAAAAGACACCTTTATCAAAAGAAATTAGTATACAGTTCATTTTACAGGAGTTGCAGAATTCAGTTATTTGTTCTTGGTCATATCATCCTAAAACTACATAGACAGAAATAAAATACAGGCAGTATATAAAGTTCTGCTTTTGATCATACAAGGCGGGTTTTTTTTTACAAACAAACAAACAAAAACCAACCAAACAAACAGCATTTTAATGTATTTATCAAATGAACTTTGTAGCTTGTGAGGCAAAAACTACACACCCTTTCAAAGCAAATTTCTTTTTGGAATCACAGTCTTCTAGTTTTACAACTCAGGCTTACAGTTTCAGTCTTTTATCAAAACTAGCAGCTGTTCGTAACAGTGGAACAAAGGCATGCAGCAACCCTTGGGGCTTGTTCCTTCTATGGAGTTATTCCTTGTATGAAGTAACAAATGACCAGGCTATTCAGATAGATTGCAAGGCCCTTTGGACACAAATTAGCCTGTTTCTTTTTTTATTAAAAGTGTTATATGCTCTGCTGGCATTTTGAAAAATATGAACTTACTGCTCAGACATTTTATTAAATGGTTATATAAAAAATTCTTTAAAAATACATGTAGTTTGGTTTAGACAGCAACTAACTACTATGGATGCTTTATTTTCCTTTCCATAAAGTTTTT